AACCTATTATTGGTCTATTCAGGGATTCAACTTCTTCCTGGTATAGTCTTGGGAGGGTGTATGTGTCCAGGAATTTATCCATTTCTTCTAGATTTTCTAGTTTATTTGCGTAGAGGTGTTTATAGTATTCTCTGATGGTAGTTTGTATCTCTGTGGGATCGGTGGTTATATCCCTTTATTATTTTTTATTGCATCTATTTGATTCTTCTCTCTTTTCTTCTTTCTTAGTCTTGCTAGTGGTCTATCAATTTTGTTCATCTTTTCAAAAACCCAGCTCCTGGTTTCATTGATGTTTTGAAGTTTTTTTGTGTCTCTATCTCCTTCAGTTCTGCTCTGATCTTAGTTATTTCTTGCCTTCTGCTAGCTTTTGAATGTGTTTGCTCTTCCTTCTCTAGTTCTTTTAATTGTGATGTTAGGGTGTCAATTTTAGATCTTTCCTGCTTTCTCTTATGGGCATTTAGTGCTATAAATTTCCCTCTACACACTGCTTTAAATGTGTCCCAGAGATTCTGGGATGTTGTGTCTTTGTTTTCACTGGTTTCAAAGAACATCTTTATTTCTGCCTTCATTTCGTTACGTACCCAGTAGTCATTCAGGAGCAAGTTGTTCAGTTTCCATGTAGTTGAGCAGTTTTGAGTTAGTTTCTTAATCCTGAATTCTAGTTTGATTGCACTGTGGTCTGAGAGACAGTTCGTTACAATTTCTGTTCTTTTACATTTGCTGAGGAGTGCTTTATTTGCAATTGTTTGGTCAATTTTGGAATAAGAGTGATGTGGTGCTGAGAACAATGAGTATTCTGTTGGTTTTGGGTGGAGAGTTCTGTAGATGTCTATTTGGTCTTCTTGGTACAGAGCTGAGTTCAACTCCTGGATATCCTTGTTAACTTTCTGTCTCGTTAATCAGTCTAATGTTGACAGTGGGGTGTTAATGGACACCCTCTCTTATGGCAATGGGTAGGAGTTCAAAAGTACTGGCAGAAATTCCAATATTTTTAAAAATGTTTGCTTGGACATTTAAAATGTCTGTCACTTCTGCCTATATCCCATTGGCAAAAGCAAGTCATATAGCCAAGACTAACATCAATGAAAAAGGGAAGAGACTTGTCCTATGGGGAAAGAGGGGAGAGTGAATATTTTTTGAACAGTAATAAAATCTAACACATACACCCTATATGGTACTCTACAGTGTTACCTAATGTGCGAGCCAAAGATACAGAAACATAAGTATCATTCTACTTTGGGAAGTATAGTGAACTGAGAACTTCCTGAGGGATCCTTCTACTGTGGAAGAATTAGACCTTTGCTGGACTTAAGTATGTAAGGAAAATCTCCAATGGGGGTGGGGAGTAGTAGCAAAAATAAAAGTAAGCCGAAACCGGAGTGGAGAACAATAAGCCAGGCATGCATACACACAAAGGTCATTATCAGCATTTCCAGGGTTAAAGGGTGTGTGTGTGTGTGTGTGTGTGTGTGTCTGAGAGATAAAGTCTGGGAGGAGAGCTGGGGATATAGAAAGCAAATTCAAGGCTCCAGGATTAAGCTGGCAACCTTTGAATGGGGATAGAAGTGATCTCAGGTCATTAGTTCCCCTGAATCTTTGTAGAATCGCTTACAAATCCACTCTGGAGTAAAGACTCTTCGATTTAGACTTTGAAGTTTTCTATACACCAAAGGTCCAAATATGAGCTCAAAATCAAAGATTACAGAACACACACACACACACACACACACACACACACACACAAAGTTCATGAGGAATGAGAGCAGAAACAACAAAAAAACAGATTAAGACCTCCAGGGCTTCAGACATTGAAACTTCACCTATAGAATATAGAATAACCATGTATGGAAGATGGAATCACAAAAATGAAGAATCAGTAAGAGACTAAAAAATGACAAAGTGGATTTAAAAAGAACCAATTAGAACTTTAAGAAATAAAAAATATAGTTGTCTCCCATCCAAGTACTAACCCGGCCTGACCCTGCTTAGCTTCCTAGATCAGATGAATTTGGGTGCATTCAGGGTGGTATGGCTGTAGACAAAATATAGTTGTTAAAACAGTTACTGGGTGAATTAAACTGAAGACTAGACAATTATGACAGAGTTGAAGAAATTTCCCAAAGTGCAGCACAGAGAAATAAAGTGATAGAACAAACGGGACAGCAGAATTTTAAAATGGGCAAAGGATTTGAATAGACATTAATCCAAAGAAGATACACAAATGACCAATAAGCACATGAAAAGATGCTAACATCACTGGCCATTAGGGAAGTGCAAATTAAAACCAAAACCCAGGTGCCATTTTACATCCACTAAGTTGGCCTTTAAAAAATGAAATGAGTGTTAGCAAAGATGTGGAGAAACTGGAACCCTTGTGCATTGCTGGTGGAAATGTAAAATGGTGCAGCCACTGTGGAAAAAACATGGTAGTTCCTCAAAAAATTAAAAGTTACCATGTGATCCAGCATCGTACCTCTAGATATAGACCCAAAAGAGTTGCAAAGAAGTACTCAAACAAATACTTGTACGTGAATGTTCGTAGCAGCACTATCAACAATAGCCAAATGAAACAACCCAAATGTTCAACTAATGAATAAATCAACAAAATGTAGTATGTATAGCCAACAGAATATTATTCAGCCATAAAAAGGGATGATGAACTGATTCATGCTACACTATGGATGAACCTCAAAAACATTAAACTAAGTGAAAGAAGTTATACATAAAAGGTCACGTATTGTGTGATTCCATTTATATGAAATATCTAGAATTAGTGAATCCATAGAGATAGAAAGCAGACTAGCGGGCCAGGAGGGAGTGAGAAGTAGAGATTGAATATTTAGTGGATATGGGCTTTCCTTTTGGAGTGGTGAAAATATCTTGGAACTAGAAGGAGGTGGTGGTTGTATAAACATTGCAAATGTGCTAAATACCACTGAATTGTAAAACTTTAAAATGGTTAATTTTGTTATATGAATTTTATTTTGATAAAAAATATAAAAGGTGATGCAGCAAGAGGTTGGACTGTGGGGGAAATGTTGACTTGAGGAGTCAATGGGTCCTTCAGGGACATACGTTCTATAGAGTCAGAAATAGGAAATCTGAATTTCTATAGCAGGATTTAGGCTTCAGAGGTATACGACCGAGTTACCCTTGCATGGATGGCCATAAGTATATATAAAGAAAATATGAACGAGAGTATGGAGCCATGAAAGATAAAATGAGAAGGTGTAACAGGTATCTAGTCAGAACTCCAGAAGAGATAATACAAAGAATGAGAGATAATATTTGAAGAAATTGTGCCTAAGAACTTTCTGAAACTGATGAAGGATATTAATCTACAAGCATAGAAAATGAAACTTTTGGCTGGGTACAGTGGCTCACGCCTATAATCCCAGCACTGTGGGATTATCCGCTGAGGTGGGCAGATCATGAGGTCAGGAGTTCAAGACCAGCCTGGCCAACATGGTGAAACGCTGTCTCTGCTAAAAATACGAAAATTAGCCGGGCATGGTGGTGTGCACCTGTAATCCCAGCTACTTGGGAGGCTGAGGCAGGAGAATCTCTTGAACCCAGGAGGCAGAAGTTGCAGTGAGCCCAAATTGCACCACTGCACTCCAACCTGGATGACAGAGTGAGACTCCATCTAAAACACACACACACACACACACAAAAAAAAAAAAAAAAAAAAAGAAAAAAAAACTTTTGCATACTAAGATAAATAAAAGGAAAAACATACTTAAATTATAGTGGAGCCGCAGAATCCTGAAGACCAAGAGAAGACCAAAAGTTAGATCACCAACAAAGTAATGGCGGAGTTACAGCAGATTTCACATCAGCAATGGAAGCTAGAAGAAAGAAAGTACCAACCTTGAATTCTACACTAAGCAAAAATATCCTTTAAGAATGGACATGAAATAAAGACACATTCACACAAAAACAAAACCAGACAGTCATCAATAAATTTCTTTCTTTTTTTAATTTTTTGAGACGGAGTCTCACTCTGTCACCTAGGCTGGAGTGCAGTGGTGTGATCTCGGCTCACTGCAAGCTCCACCTCCCAGGTTCATGCCATTCTCCTGCCTCAGCCTCCTGAGTAGCTGGGACTACAGGTGCCCGCCACCACGCCAGGCTAATTTTTTGTACTTTCAGTAGAGACAGAGTTTCGCCATGTTAGCCAAGATGGTCTCAATCTCCTAAACTGGTGATCCCACCCGCCGCCTCAGCCTCCCAAAGTGCTGGGATTACAGGTGTAAGCCACTATGCCCGGCCAATAAATTTCTAAAACATATTCTTTGTCTTTCAAAAAGCTATATTTATTCAATTAAAATGGCAACCTTTATTCTGAAATTATATTCTTCCTAATTTTAGGGGCTAAAATATGTTTTCTTTTACGTAATGATGCTGATAGCAGATGGTTTTATTATTATTATTATTATTATTATTATTTGTTTGTTTTTATTTTATGTCCTTAGCTGGCAAAATTAAAGCCAGCAACTAAGGCCCCAACTTTTTTTTAAATACAAATCTACTGGTGCTTAAATCTCAGAGCTTAGGAACCACAGCCTATGTAAAGGCCGATCTTTTTGTTGCATATTTCACAGTATTGAATTCTTTCTTGGTGAGTTCTCCATACAAGTTATGAAGCAGGATAAAACTCAGTCTTATATTAAGTCAGTGTAAATATGGCCTTAATTTCAATCACCAAAGAAACATATTTGTGTTGTATACCATGGTTACAGCATATTTTATTAAAACTAATTATATTAGTACCTACCTGTAGAGTATCAATTTAAAAATTATAATGCCATTTCTATGATGTCATTACTTTTATAGGACTAGCCTGTGTCACATATGTGAGCATTATTGGTTCAATGCAGAAACAAAGAAGGCTGGTTGTCCAAGCAGGCCACTTTTCTGGGTCAGGGTTTCAGTGGTACCATAGATGGGTGCCAGTCTCAATGTACACTTTGGCCCATTTATCTTTATAAATCATACCATATAGCTTCAATATTTATATACATTTAAACTGAGAAGAAATATGCATTACAAGAAAGCATAGTTTAGTGGGCTTCATGTGTCAGAAATAACTCCATATTTCATCATTATTTTTATGTCATTAGCTACACTTGATAAAGAACAATTCCATATAAATGTACAAACTGGAACATAATTTTGTAAGACCTTAAAGAGATCTTTGTAAATTGCAGTATATCCACTTATAAACAAATCAAATCAATTAATCACCATTTCTTCAAAGTGTCAAAAACAAAAGAATAACTGGACATTACTTTTTATAATCAGCTTCAGAGAAAATACAGGCATAATGATCAATGGCATTTTGGAGCAGATAAAACTGCTGGTTTTATGTCTGAGTCTATCATTCTGTGATTTGCTATAATAGTATTCCTTCCTATTAGCTGATCTTGACAATATTAGTTCTATATTCATTTGATATGAGCATTTATAATAAACTTCAAAATTACCTCTGGTAGTATCCAGAATATATGTCAGAGACCCCTAAAAGCAATTTCTGTTTTCCTCTTAATTAAGATAACATTTGGTCAAACGACAGCTTCAGATTTTCAAGACCAGTAGGGTGCCTTGCAGTGAACATGCATAGGCTGGAGCATCTGGCCAAATTACAATGTAGTTATCAATGCTTAATTATTCTTGGTTTTCTTCGGATAGCGAGTCCATGTAGACTTGTTCATATCCATGGTATTTTAAAATAAATCTAAGAAGGCAGGATTGAGATTATGGAACCCAGAAGAGCATGAATCAGGTATCCATTGGTTTGGGATTTGCAGGCCTCCTGTTATAATTGCAGATTTCACAAACGTCTCCAAAGAGGGCTTATCCAAAGTTGGCTTTCGGATTTTAGCCAGTTTTGTAGCTACGAAGTATGGCAGGATGCTCTGCACAAAGATGCCCTTGCTCCTGTACTCCTCAGGGAGGCACCGAGAGAAGAAATCTACAAAAGTCTTGGTTGCGGAATGCATGGTCAACAGTGGGACAGGGAACATGCCATTGCCAGATGAGAGGTTCAGAATGTCTCCTTTAGATCTTTCCACCAAAGCATATAAGAAGGAAGATGAAACTAGAAGAAATGTCAGAGCTAGAAGAAGGAAAGATGAGCAAAGGATTTAGTAAGCATGGTATATCTAAAGTTTGTTCTACATAAAATACAAAGTTCTAATCTGTGGGGCCTGTCTTAGTTCAGGTTCTTCTCCAAGCAGACCCTAAGATAAATATTTAGGTACAAACCCTTCATTTTGGAAATGATGCCAGGAAGCATCAATAGGAGAGTGAAGCGTCTTAGTCTTGAGACAGGAAGCCAACAATGTGTGTAAGAACTGTCCACTGAAGCTGCTGGTGACTTCCAGGCTCAACTGGGGAGATACAGCAGGTCACTCAATAGCATCTGTGGTAAGACTGGAATTCAAAATGTATAACATTGAAATATTAAACAAAGTAGGGTTTCAGTTGAGAAGTGAGTGATCAGAGTTAAATGTTTTAAAGTATTATTCAAGAAAAATGTTAAGATTTAGACTGTTATAACAAAGTACCATAGACTGGATAGTTTATAAACAACAGAAATTTATTTCTCACTTTTGTAAAGGCTGGAAGGTTAAGATTACAGGGCAGCATGGCCAGGTTTTGGTGGGGACCCACTTCTGGATTGCAGACAGCTTACTTTTGGTTGTACTTAACATAGCAGAGAGAAGGAGAGAGAGCTTTCTTGTGTCTTTTTATAAGGGGACTAATCCTATTCACCTAATCACCTCTCAAAGTCCCCACTTCCTAACAGCATCACTCTGGGAGTTAGGAGCTCAACATACAAATTTCAGAGAGACACACAAACATTTGGTCCATAACAGAAAGGAAGCCAAGAGAAGGTGCATAAATGAGCAAGTAACTGCTTGCTGTTAACAACAGGGCTCAACCCCACTGGGATTCCTCTGAAAATCTGTGTGTAGCACATTTTAGAATTTTCTCACCAAAGAGTGATGAAGTTGGGGCATTTATCTACTAACTGCTATTTCGTATTGGCTGAGAATTGCCTTTTGGTGTCAGCTTTTCTGGCCTGCAGAATATGCTCCTGCAATCAGTGAAAACCCTCAGAAAAGATATGCAGGTGCTTGAGACAGGCAGCCATCAATGTGTGTAAGAACTGTCCACTGAGGCGACTAGTACTTCCAGGCTTGACTGGGGAGATATGGCAGGGCACTCAAAAGTGTCTGTGGCAGGACTGGAATCCAAAATATATAGCACTAAAATATTAAACATTAGCAGGTCTTCATCTGAGAAATGGGTGATCAGAGTTAAATGTTCTACAGTATTAAAGGAGAAATGTTAAGATATTAGTATAAGACTTTATTAAAGTAGATGTGCAAGGTAAAATTTCAAAGTTTCCACTAAAAAACAGAAATAGATTGTATAACTTCTAAATCAGTTAAGAGGGGCAGAGGAAAAGGTACAAAAAGAAAAACAAATAATAAAGTATCAGATTGACCTGGGTGCAGGTTACAGGTGATAAGTAGAGCAATAAGAGATAAACTGGGGAGGTGGAGCCTAGGCATACGCACTTTTCACAAGCGCCTCAGTGATTCTTATACATCCTTTAGTTTAGGAACCACTTGAATATAGCCAGAGCAACATTCTCAATGACTTCCTGGAAAATTTTCATGGGAAATAAACATGTGGCAGAAGCAGTCTTTGGTTTCAAAAAGCACCTCATTGTGGCAGCTTTAAAATGCAGCTGCAAATTCTTTAAACCTCTTTTCATCAAGAGTTGTGACTTAGTCTGCCTGTGTTGCTATTAAAAAATATCTGAGACTGGGTAATTTATAAAGAACAGAAATTTATTTCTCACCATTTGGGAGGCTGGGAAGCCCAAGACCAAGGCACCAGCAGGTTTGGTGTCTGGTGAGAGCCCTGTTTCTGTTTCCAAGATGATGCCGTGTTGCTGTATCCTCCCGAGCGGATGCATGCTGTGTCCTTGTGCGGTGGAAGAGTGGAAGAGTGCATAGCCATTCCTCAAGCCCTTTTATAAGGGTCAGAATCTCATCCACAAGAGCTCTGCCCACATGACTAAACCTTCTAAAGGCTCTGCTTCTTAATACTATCACATTGGATTTTAGGCTCCAACGTATACATTTTGGGGGACATATTAAGAACTTAACAAGGTGGGACCTATCTTCTCCCTTTAAATCTGAGTGGACTGCTTTGACCAACAGCGTGTGGCAGAAGAATTACATTGTGACCAAGACCAAGTCATAAAAAGTCATAAAGCTTCTGTCTTTTCCTTAGGGAATCTTGGCTTTTGGAATTCTAAGATGCCCAGGTAAGAAGTTCAATTACTCTAAGACCACTATGCTGGCAAGGGCACATGTAGTCGTCTGGTTGATAGTCCATGACAGTCTGAGCTGAGCCCACTTTTAGCTTTCCCAGCCCGGGGACCACACATGAGAATGAAGAAGCCTTCTTGGAGGTGATTCCTCCAGCACTCTGGCTCTAGCCTCCAGCTTAGATTATCTGAGGACCCAGACACTGATAATCAAAGATAAACTGTCTCTACTCTTCCCTGCCTGAATTCCTGGCCTGCACAATTTGTGCACAGAATCAAATGGTGTTTTATGCCACAAAAAGTTGGTGATTTGTTAAGCATCAATATATAGCTAGAACACCTGAATTAAAAATCGGTCAACCATACAAAGAATGTTGCTGTGCTGCTGTACCTCCATGCCTCCAAACCCAAACCCAAAAGCTACCGGTGCCCCTGTGCATATGAGAGAAAGTGAAGGGATCTGAGTCAATGCAGTGGAGATGAAAAGAAGGCCAAGAAAAGCAGTAACAACTAGGGGTATGAAGCTGGAGCCTGAGGAAAGCTACTTGCACAGAACTGGTATCTCTCTGTGGCGTATTCTGCCCATAACCACCTACACATCATGTACATGGTCTTCACTTATGACCATGCCTGGAATCCAACCAAATAGAGACTCTTTATCCTGCTTCTGAAAAGCCAAGATCTGTAGGATACTGAGTCCTGCAGGTATTTACATTTCAATGTCAAGTAATTCAATACTGCTTTTTTCCTGACACCTCAGAGAGCTGCTATTCTGGGAGGAATTTAAAAATTTGAAAGAAACAGGAGTGGAAATCTATTGACAGTTCTACGGAACCCTGTAAAGAATAGGGCAGGGTGCCTCTGTCTCCCCATCCCCCGTTTTCTCCTCTGACACTTTTAAGTTTCTCCTTTTCTCCGCCATCTCCCTTAGGATACTTACCTCCTTCTTAGAAGGAAAGGAGTCCCAGATTTCCTTTTCTCGTTCTTTCTTATGAGCTCTAGTGGTTCTTTCTTCATTTGGGTGTTAGAGGGGCTCTCCCTGCCTGGGGTTCTGTTGCTCTGAGAATGAGAGCTGCACCAGCTGTGGTTCTGTGGACTGGGATGTACTGTGGGCACTGCCCTTTCCATTTTCACTCCCTGACAGCGATGTTGCAGGTGCTCGCATGCATTCTCAAAAGCACACCAGCCACAGCCAGGGCTATTCACTTTCTTCCAAAGACTCCAGTGTGACATAAAGAAAACCTATTTCTTCTAGTAGCATTACTTTGACCTACTTTTTTTCTAGAATTACCCAGAGATGATACTAAAAGACCTCTTCTTTGCTTTGAAGCTTACTTTCACCAAAAGAATCCCCATGAGTAGGCACAGTGGGTCACACCTGTAGTCCCAACTATACCAGAGGCGGAGGGGCAGAAAGATCGCTTGAGCCCAGGAGCTCCAGGTTGCGGTGAGCTATGATTGCACTTGTGAATAGCCGCTGAACTCTAGCCTGGGAGACATAGCAAGACCCCATCTTTGAAAAAAGAAAAAGAAAAAGAAATGAAGAAAAGGGTTCTCATGTTAGCTGAGATTAGCTTTCTCTGGAGCTGCCCAGCACATAGAGTGCTGATGATAAGTGGATCCATTCTGATCCCCATTCCCTTTCCCGATGGAAGGCAGGTAGGGAAGGAGGGGAAGGGACCTGGGTTTCAGGTAAGTATGCACTCAGGTATGAGAGGTACCTTTGCTTCCTGCCTTCACTGTGGCCCAGATGAGCTGCCTACTCCCTGATAGATACATATGATATCTGTGAGATGTAATTATAACAGCTAAAGTTGGACTATGGATTGACTGATGGTGTCTGGTGGTGATTTTTCTAAGCATCCTCTCTGACATTTCACATTACAAAAGACAGCATTTGCCTTTTATTTGATACTATTAAATGAGCCATTTATTTTGTAGCCAGTAGAGCAAGAAGGTTAAGATACTAGCTCTGGCTTTCGACAGCATGGATTTGAATCCCAGGCCTGCTATTTACTGTGTAATTTCAGGCAAGTAACTTAAACCTTTCCACGATGCTGTTTTCCCATCTATAAAATGGTTGCAGTAAGTAGTACCTATCACATCGGGATATTGTCAGGATTGAATGAGTTAATACATAGAAAGCACTTGCAACACTACCTGAACATAGTAAATACTCAACAAATGTGAACTACAATTATTAAAAATCATTTTCTTTTAATGAGAGATGAGCAGTTATCATCTAAAATTGACTTGTTGTGATCTTAGCACTCTTCATTACAAAGGCTATAAAAACACAGCCTCATTTTGCAGTACTGGGAGTTAAATCGGCATCCACAGCACTCCCAGTCTTCGGTATTGAGAGCTTACCTGGCCGGGTATGGATAACTTGGACAGCAAGGGGATTACTTCAGAATTAAGACTTCGGATTTCACCTGGGTTGGGCAGCTCCTGTTTTGAGCAACACTTTTCTCAATCTCGTTTCCAAATGTCTTCTTACAAAAATCAGGGCCATCGTTATTTTCCTTGTGGATTTTGAATAACTTATAGTTCCTGTACAGCCTTGATCCTTTCACAGCAAGTTTTTTCTTATAAAGCCTCTTATATTTTAGGGTGGAAGATTGGTCAGTTCTTCATCTCTTGGGTAAACAACTCTCATCACGCCTGGGCCATGTTTCTTTTGGAAACCAATCAGATAATAAGGTACTCTTATTGAACATTGATGGTCAGTGCCATCCTGGAAACAGGACAAAGCAGAAGTCTGTGGCCACCTTTGGCATGGTCTTATTTGTTTTGAGGACAAGTTGCCGTATCCTTTGGAAAAAGATTCCAGTTAATGAACACTAAAATACCCATAGAGACACAGATAGCACACTTTAAGTATGAAGACAAAACTTCAACTGTGAACAATTATTGGGGTATGGGAAAGAAAGTAGATGCCCCGAGATGACCTTGGAGATAGCTTTTAACATCTTTGGAAGTTACCATTAAGAAGAAATCTCCAAGAGCATGAACCCTATTTTGGAAAGCATCGCGTCTATTCAAAAGTGTCCTTGCAAAGGAGGGAAATACGAAACTAACAGTAGGCCAATGCCACACTAATAATTGCTGCAGCCAAAATCCATCGATAGATGCTAAAACTAGAGGGCAAAAGTTTGAAGAGGAACAGGCTATTTTCATGGTCTAAGTACCCCATCCCAAGATATTTGCTAATTACAAAGAGGAAAAATAGTAAACTTATGGTGGAGAAACCAGACAGATAGCAGTTTATCCAACAGATCAAGGTTAATATCACCAGTAATACAACATTAACATCATACACCCTTGATATCATGTACTGAGAGAAGCCCAACATCACTTCTGTGGTATTCTTGCCAAAAAAAATGCACAATTTACTCTCAATCACGAGAAAACATCAGATAAACCCAAACTGAAAGACATTTACAAGGTAACTGACCAGTACTTTTTACAAGTTTCAGGGTCATGAAAGATAAGGGAAGACTGAGTGACTGTCCCAGATTGGAGAGGAAATAAGAAGATACAACTGAATGGAAAGTGGGGTCCTGGAGTTGGTCCTTGGCCAGAAGGACAGCAGTGGGGAAACTGGGGAAATCCAAGTAAAGTCTGTAGCTAGGAAGGTCACACCAGAGTTAATCTCCTGGTTTTGATAGTCACACAATGGTTATGTCAATATGTTAATATTTGAGGAGTCTGGGTGAAGGGTAGATGGAAACTCTCTGAACTATTTTTGTAATTTTGTATAAGTCTAAAATAACTTCAAAATACAAAGTTAAAGAAAAAAGAATTTAAAATATCCTTTTCAGCAGGAAGTCTCCAATTATAGAGAATTGTTTTGGTAGGTTTAATTGGCCTGGCAGATGTGAAACCATAAACTGGCTTTAAAAAAAAATGAATTATAATACAGAACTATTCAAAGTAGATTCTCCCTACCTTAAGGGAATAATTGAAATACCAAAAATTAAAAAAAAAAAAAGAAATCAAAGCTTGCCCTGTTGACAAAATGTACCATTGATACTGTGAAAGTAAACATTCACTAGTATATTATAAAACATACTTATTACATGTATGTGGAAAAGAACTTTATATTTGTCCAACTGACATCTTTTCATTGCACATCCCAAATCCTGACTTCTAAAAGCATCATAGTAAACCTAGTGGTGTTTTTCTTTGGTTAAAGCTGTCTTTGTTATCAAATTTGGCATTAAAGGTGAGAAAAGAAAAAGAAAAGGAATATGTATTTTTTAAAAAAATTAAAAATAAGGCTGTCTTAACTCCAGGGAGAAAAATAAACAAAGGCTCATACAACCTGATTAAGAAGTTTTAAGATTCACTAAGTTACTGACATTGGGGAGACTGGTATGGGTGTGTATTTTTATTTGAGAAACTTCTTTGCTTTTCACAGCATTGGCCCAGGGCTTTTTGGAGTTCCCGCTCTATTAACTTTTTCAGGAGAGCTGAGCACAGCCTGTTACTTGGATCTTTATTAAACTAGAGCTTTCACAGGCTCCATATTCAAGATTCATTAAGTGACAAATGCCAGAAAGAAAGACAGATCACCTGGAAGGATCCTGGATTCAATGTTAACGCACTTCAGAGTTCTCTGATCATGATGATTAATAATCTATGTAACAGTGATATTTTAATGAACACCTTTCATTTCTGCCATGCTTTGTGGGCTGTATAGCATTTCCTCATTTTATTTCATCAACAACAGCGAACACTGAGTACCCACCAGGAGTGGGACTCAGATTCTGCCCTTGAGTCACTACCAGCCAAGCTGAGGAGTGTGATGGATGCACAGGACTAAACCCCTCCATCAGTTGAAAGAAAACCTAGAAATTGGGCACCAAGGTAGGAAAGAGGTGCAGCCATTTAGGGTAGATGGAAAAGCTTTCTGGTATAAGTCAGAAGGCTGTTCTAGCTCTGCAGTGGGGAAGTAGGTGGCAGGGGCAGGTACCCAGCCAGGGAAGTGAATGGTAGTGAAGCGCCATGCCATGTTTTAAAGCAAGAATGTACAAAACCACATTTACAAAGATTTATTTGAAACGACATGTAGAACCAATCAAGACTGGTGGAAAAAACTGAAGAAAAGAAGACTAACTGGTACCCGTTATTAATAAAATTAGCTGATACTCATTAAGAGGTCGCTTAACCAGAGCCCATGCTAAAGTCTTTATGCGAATAATCACATTTAATATAGTCCAATATTCCTCAGAACATAAACTTGGGTTAGTTGATCACAGAACTGGGACTTTATTTTATTTTATTTTATCATTTTTTTGAGACAGAGTCTCCATCTGTCACCCAGGCTGGTGTGCAGTGGTGTGATCTTGGCTCACTGCAACCTCTGCCACCCAAGTTCAAGTGATTCTCACGGAGTAGCTGGGATTACAGGTGCGTACCACCATGCCCGGCTAATTTTTTGTGTTTTTTAGTAGAGACGGGGTTTCCTCATGTTGGTCAGGGTGGTCTTGAACTTCTGATCTCAGGTGATCTGCCCGCCTTGGCCTCCCAAAGTGCTGGGATTTATAGACGTGAGCCACCGCGCCCAGCTGGCAGGGACTTTAAACCAGTACTTCACATTCAAATAATTATAATGGTAGTAATAGGAAGATAATGAGGGATATGACTTTGTACTAAATACCCACAACAGACAGGTGCTGTACTCAGTGCTTTGCAGCTCAGTGCTGTGCTCAGTGCTTTGCCTGGACTTGTTGGGGGAATGGGCAGGGGAAGAAACGAATCAGCACTCTGAATGCAGACATGCTTGAAATATTTTGTCAGCTTGTGAGCCTGAAGATAAGGCTGTGCTGCTAATGTATCAGGAAAGACCAAGATGGCAGCCGGTGGAGAGGGAGAAGGGGCACTGTTTTGCTTTAAGTAAGCTGGGGACCACTTCCTCGTGTTGGGGGGGAAATGATGATACATAGTAAAAGAAGAAAAAAGGGTCAGTTTCCTTAAATGTCACCTAAATAGTGCAAACTACAATTTTTCAAGAGTATAATCAATTATTGGGTGATCCTTAGTGAGTTTGGAATTATTAAGGATAAATAACATTTTTTTTTTTTTTTTTTTTTGAGAGGGAGTCTTGCTCTGTCACCCAGGCTGGAATGCAGTGGCGTGATCTCGGCGTACTGCAACCACCGCCTCCTGGGTTCAAGCAATTATCCTGCCTCAACCTCCCGAGTAGCTGGGATTACAGGTGTGAGTCAGCACATCTGGCTAATTTTTGTATTTTTAGTAGAGACGGTGTTTCACCATGTTGGCCAGGCTGGTCTCGAACTCCTGACCTCAGGTGATCCACCTGCCTGGGCCTCCCGAAGTGCTGGGATTACAGGTGTGAGTCACTGTGCTAGCCAAGTAATCCAATTTTTTAAAATGGGTGGGTTTTAGTTAGTAATGTCCTTTACTTTCTGAAGTCCGATATAAAAGGCAGGAATTTTTGTTCATATTAAAAAGTCATCTGGGATAGTTTCAGAATTTTATGTCTCAAATTACTGCCTTTTATTTTTCTGGTTAACTGTGTTTGAAAAGATACATTTTTAGCTATTCTTGTTATTATTGTTAGAGTTATGCATATAGAAATATACATTCAAACAATGTAGGAGGCACAAAATGAGCAGTTTAAATTGCCTCGCCCTAGTACCTCAGAGACTGCTTTTAATTCTGGTGGTTATTCACACTGCATTTAAATTGTTTAACTCAGAAAGGACACATATTTTTAATGCTTATTAAGAGTTTCATTGTGTACAAAATGGTATAGCATACTGTGTCACTTTTATGAAAAGGCAATGGCCCATAATACATTTTAGAAACAGACTTTATGGAAATTTTCAGCAAAGAGCTCTAAAATGTTGATATTAAATGTAAAAGTATGTTTTTAGTACATGCCACAACCATGAACAGCTTCAATCCATTACTAAACAGTCATTAAAATATTCATCCAAATTCTATTTGAATAACTTTCATGCCTTGTAAAATCTGAAGAACTTTTTAAATGGATGGGGTATTAGAATGTTTAAAGAAAGAAATTTGCTTTTAAGACCAGCCTTATCAGAATTCATGAAGGCTATATTGTGGCATAAATGTATATATTATAAATGTTGGGGAAACAAAAAGAAAAAATCATGTAAGAATGGATAACTTCCTGTTGACTATAACATTACCAATTTTTTGTTTTGGGATTTTTATTAAAGCAGTCTCTAGTATTGTCTTCTCGTACTTTTCAGCCACATAGTTGAACTCAAATCAAAACATGATCCTTCAACTTTATATTCATTAACAGTAAGGATTCAGACAAGTGTGGATTGCCTTGTTTATGTTGCGGCCTCCGCATGTGAACCCTCTGGGTTACTGCTGCAACACGGATTTTCATCCGCTTCCTCATTTGATTAATTAACCCAGCTTCAGTCATTGTTTCAGCAGCCCCTGCACAGGCAGGCTCTCTGGCCTGACCCGCCAAGTCTACACTAGAGCCTCTTTCATTTCACCTAGAGAGTCTGGGGAAGGTGCTGGACAGCAGTTCCTTTGTCTAATTGCATAGGATCAGGGTGACAAACTTTAAAAGGGTGTTTGCATCAAGAGTGGTATTTCAATTTGCCTTGTTAAATTATTTTCTCCTTTTGCTGATAGCATGCCTAATTTTATGATATGGCATTATGTTCACAGGAAGGAGATGGGAGAGGGGAAGGGTTAACGTAAGAGCCAATGCTGCAATCCCTCTCAGCCCCTCACCCAGCCTACATGTCGATTAAGACCAAAATTCTACCTCAGGGCACAGCTGTTCCTTCTGTTCCTTCTGTTGTCTCACCGTGTTGTAGTCCACGGTGACTGCAGGTGCTCTGACACAGAGAGCAGTCCTCTGCCTTCCATGGCACCCCTCCCAGGGGAGGGAGAAGTCCTGGCTGGTCCTCTCCTTTCCTCGACTCACCCAGGGTTGGCACAAAGGGCAGCTGGTAGGGGAGGGGCAGGGGTGCCTGAGCAAAGGGACACCGTCACTCTTTGCAGGGTAAGAGTCCTTAATCTGCAGTCCCTTATCCCCAAGGGGTAGAATTACCTCTTAATCTAATTTACTTTATAACCTAAACTCACTCTTCTGAGAAGGGTTCTATAGGAGTCTTCAGCCTGGCAAAGGGGCCTGTGGGACACAAAGTGTTAAGAACCTCTGGAAGGTGGCACCATTCTTCCCTCCAGCTGAGCAGTAATGGCCATTTCTGAGTGCTCAGCCACTCTCTTTGCCTCCCCCACCCCAGTTCCAGCCAGATATATAGTAAGGAGTCAATCAAGACTCATAATATATTTTTTAAATCTCTTTATTATTTATGGAATTTTACACAGCCTGAGGCATTTTTGATTGAGGGCATAAAGAGTGTGTGAAGAGATGAATCTGCATTGCCACTCCCAGCCCATTCTGTAACCCCTGCCACTGTGGCTGTTCATTTCAGAGTGGGCTGAGTTTCCACAGAGCAGCTGAAGAGCTGTGAATGGTGGTTAATTGCAGTGATGTTAATTAGCATGTTATAGGAGGTAAGAAGAGGGGATTCACATTTCTCTTTTTACTGCTTCAAACAAATGATCTAGATCTTTGCTACAGAAGCCACTGGCCACATGTGGCTATTTAAACTGAAATAAATAACAAAGAAAAATTAAAGATCAGTTCCTCAATCACACTAGCTACATTTCCAGTGCTTGATAGCCACATGTGGCTAGTGGCTGCCATGTTGGAGAGCATGGATGCAGTACATTTCCATCACCACAAATATCCATGGACAGTGTGCTGCTAATTCTCTACCTCGCTCACCTTCTGACTGCAGAGCCTAGCCTGGGCCTGTCCCTCTGGCTTCCTCCTTCCCCCATTCCCTATCCCACCCCTTTGTCTCCCATCCTCATGCCTCTCCCCACCTCCCTCACCTCACCAATATCCTTGTCATGGAAATGTGTGTGTGACAGGGTTCCCACTGTGAGTTCAGCTCCACCCTTCTGAAGTGATTCAGCATATTAACTACCTTACCTCCCTGCAATGCCCTGTGAATTAGGAAGGGCAGGCATATCCTTTTCTTTTTTTTTGTAACCAGTGGGGAAAAAGGCTCAGAGAGCAGTGATAAGTAATTAACTTGCCCAAGGTTGTACATGGACAAAAGCCATCTTCTGATTTCTGGTACAGGCTTTTTTCTCATGGTTGGTCCTTTGTAAATGTTTAGGGCAGTCATGGTCTTAATTTTAAAGATAGCTATGTTCAACATTTCCTGTGTCTGTCAGCAGGGTATCACTGTGGAAGTGCACGGGAGTGCAGCAGGGAGACCTCGCTGAGCATCTTGCTCCTCAGCCACAGGCCACCTGGCTTTGTTGGTTTCCTCATCTGGAAAATTTGTGCAGGGAGTCATTACAAAATGATGCTAAGATTTCCTCTGGTTCCAATATTCAATGTATTTTTTGATTACTTTTTACTCATATGGCTTGATTTATTTCCCAAATGATTCAAGGACCCTTTTCAAAAGGTTCTCCCCTTGCTCTGGAGCGGCCATCACTGTGGCAGCTACCTACTGGCAGTGCAATAGCAGGCCATCTCTAAGGCAACACCTGGAATTGCCTGCCAATCCCTCACCACCCAGCAGCGCCAGTGTCTTCCTGGAGCTCATGAGAAATGCAGAACGCCAGGGCTGCTGAACGTGAATCTGCATTTTATCCAAATCCCAGGTGATTTGTTTGTATCGCAAAGCTTGAGGAACTGTGATCCAGGCCCTGGGAAAGCAAGAATGAGCACAACTCACCTAAGTAGAACTTGGTGGGAGGGGAATCAAGCAGACATGGGGTACGTGCCCAGAGCTCCAAACCCTCCTAGCCACACTGGGACATGGCTGTCCCCTCAGGGCTTGTCCAGGTGAGTCTGAGCTCCTTCCCTGGGTACAGTCATTCTCTCTGTGTGGAGAACACCTTTGGCTCTGGAGTCCATTTACTCAGGAACTCATCGTCTGCACTCACAGCCTCTTTCCTCTATCTCATTAATACTCAATTGAAGCACTCTGATTCGCAGCAGGCTTTTTATGCACACCCTGTGGTCCTGTAAGACCTTTAAATGTAGGAATTAGAATACTGGTTCTACAGGATACACCTGGAGTTAGGTGGACTTTGGGCAATGTGCTTATAAGTCCCCAAAAGGCTCAAGGGAATGCTGACTTTACATTCTGGGAGTCCAAAGAAGACCTAGAGAAACATGAGGGAAGGAAGAACAGGATTTCATCAGATTGCGATTTGGGAAATGGCTGTTTCAACTAGAGGAGAGGACAAGGTGGGATTTAGTGTACAAAGACCCAAGGCGCTGTCCTCAAAGGCACAGAGAGCATCATCATGTCATCCAAGCCCTATGGAGATGGGTGGCCGGGATGTTCTGGGGCTGGCGCTGACCACCTGCCTGCTCCTGGGAGGGGAAACGGTGATTCATCTGCAGGAGCCCCTGGTGACAGCCAATGGCTGGATGTGAAATTCAAGCCGGACCTGGATGTTCCTAATCTGCCTTACCTCACAGATGGGAAGAACAGGATCGTCCACAATCCTGGAACGTCCTGGATCGTCCCGCGGCGCTCACAAGCACGCTTCTTCAGAGTGGTGAGACTGAAGAATGAAAGGTGCCAGGAGACATCAGGGAGAAGCAAATGGTGGCATCCCACCTGCAGCTGAAACAGCTCCACCATGACCCTGACCATGAAACATGGAAGCCTCCATACTTGGAACTGCAACCTGGGCAGCTGAAACATTTCTCCTTGTTTCTGAGGAAATCATGGTTTCCAGGGAGAAAGCTCACCTTTTTGGATATTCTTACCTGTGAAGTCTTAGATCAGAACTGTATGTTTGAATTCAAGTGCCTGGATGAGTTCCCAAATCTGAGGACTTAGTGAACCACATTGCAGCTTTGGAGGAAAGAGCTGCCCCTGTGCAATCTGTCTGTTCTGCAGGATGCCAGTCAGCAGTGAGATGGACCAGTGGGGACCAAGAGCGTATGCTGAGCAGGAGGCAGACTCACACTGCGTGTTCCGTTCCATCCTGTCTCTAGGGGCCTGCACTCTATCTTCTCTGCTCTTTTCAATAACACTTAGGCTAAAAAACAAAACAGAAAAGTCTAAAGCAGAGAGAAATTCAAGATAGAACTCTAAGACCAGGTGGCTTAAACAACAGAAATGTATTTTCTTACAGTTCTGGAGGCTGGAAGTCTAAGATCAAGGTATCGGGAGGGCTGGTTTCTTCTGAGGCCTCTCTCCTTGGCTTGCAACTGGCATTTCCTCCCCATGTCCTCACGCGCTGTCCCCTCTGTGTGTCTGCGCCCTAATTTCTTCTTCTCCTAAGGATGCCAGTCACACTGAAGTAGGGCCTCTCCTTATGAATCACTCTCACCTAGCTCACTCTTTAAAGGTTCTACCTCTAAATATGGCCACATTTTAAGACACCGGGGTTAGGACTTTGACATGAATTTTGGGGCACATGGCTCAGCCACTCATCTCCACAGCCTCTTCTGAGGAATGAGAGTGGCTCTTTCTGCATGCAGTTGTCACACCCTGTGCCTATGTCATGTGTTCCTGTGCCTTGAATGTCTAAGTCAAAAGTAGCCATATGGGTTGGACTTCAAAAAGCCACTTGCCCCTCAGGTGTTTTGGACACTGAACCTGACCAATGGGGGCTCTGCAAACTGGAAGTGCCTCCCTGACCCAGTCAGATTCTCCCCCTAAGAAGGGGGACTGCCACATTCTGAGAGCTCCTTTGTCATAGGAAAAGACCAAGTCACTAGCTTTGAGGATGGGTCCTGAGGGAACAAGAGCCATAGTTCTGGATCTGCACAAGGGCAGCTGTGTGTGCCAGGCTTGGCCATGAGAAGCCAGAGAAATGGGCCAGCTGCTATTTAGTCTCCATGTCCCTTGCTACATAGTTCCCTGTGCCAACTGCCTCCTTGCCACCCAAAAACTCTACTTAGTACAGAAAGACGCATCAACAGTGGACATTCCCAAGGAACACATGGGGAAAGAGGCCATTAAGATGGGCCATTAAGTCATGAGTGACCTCTGGAGACCAATGCTAGGTCTAGGATAAAGGCAGAGTAAGAGCTCAAGTGTCTGTGTCTTTGGAGTCCCCCAGGTGCAGACCCTGAGGCAAAGATTCATGTGCAAATAGTTAATTGGGACCAACAAGGAAATGGAAAAATGAGAAAGTGAAGGGAAAAAAAATCAACACAAGAAGTGGTAATGAGCAGATTGCCACTGAAGACAACTAGGGCTCAGTCCCACTGGGAGGCCTGTGGGAAATGGCAAACATGTCTCAGGGTTGTTCCACCTGGGGCCAGGAAGCTGGGCCGTATATCCTGCAACCTCTACCTGAAACTGGGTGAAGACCATGAACTTCCAGCACTAGCCACCTGTCTAATGGGCCCAGCACCCTCTTGCTCCACCTCCAGGCAAAGACTTGCAGATGTTGGCAGCAAGAAGCCAGTGCAAGGGAAGAGGAGTGTGCAGGGGTTGTGGGCAGTGGCTGCATTCTGCGGCAAGTTCTGCCTCCTCCCCCAAGTCACAAAGCAGGAGTTCCAACCATGGCTCTCTCTGCTCAAAGCAGCTGGCTGTGCACTGGGTGAAAAGGACTGGCAATTTCTGAGAGATACCTTGTGGTCAGACCATCAAGTATCAGATCCTCTGTCACAGACACAAAAAGCTGATTCCTTTTGCTTTACCTTCTACATCTAACTATCCTTCATTTCAAACCCATTCCACACAATTCATCTTCCCCTACAGAGGCTGATGAGGTAATTCTTTTATTTTGTAACTAGCAGAGTTAAAAAAAACATGGAGAGATCTGGAAGTAGATACTTAAGTAAAATTCCTTTTAATAATTCTTGTGGTTGGACACAGTGGCTCACATTTGTAATCCCAGTGCTTTGGGAGGCCAAGGTGGGAGGATAGCTTGAGGCCAGGAGTTGGAGACCAACCTGGGAAACACAGTGAGACCACATCTCTACATAAAAATAAAAAATAGCTGGGCATGGTGGTGCACACCTGTGGCCCCAGCTCTTGGGAAGACTGAGACAGGAGGCTCTTTTGAGCCCAGGAGTTCAAGGATGCAATGAGCTATGATAGCATCACTGAACTACAGCCTGGGTGTCAGAGCGAGATCCTGTCTCAACAAAACAAAAACTTGCAAATCTCTCAGATTAGGGAGCCCAACACTATACCCAGAAGAACATGTTAACTTATTTTACCTTTTCCCCACATTAGACAAAAAGGTAATCATTTAATTAAAGCAGTAAGATCAATTGGCTACTTAAAAATCTATTTTTTGTGTGTGCCCTTTATCATCCTGTGGGGAGAGGGGAGTTGCTCATGTCATTGAAACCATGGAAGGCCCAGGCAGTGAGAACAGGCATCAGAGTGTGCCCCTCAGGTAGACCCTCAGCCTACTCCCCCTCAGTTCTCAGGGGACACTCGCTGGCCAGGATGGCCACTTGGCACCCAGTGGAGGTGCTGGTATACATACAGGCTTCCCCGATGATGCCAAGGGGTTGGCCCAGCCCCCACCAACCAGGATGGGACCGGGGCACTGGCTGCCAGAGGAGAACTGGCAGAACCCTGCCCCGTGGAGTAGCCACCCAACTAACTGCCTTCTGCAGAGTGGGAGGGCATCTATGTCCTCCCCCACCCCTGCCCACTCTCCTGGAATAGGAGAGGATGCCCTGGTAGATCCCACCTCCACTCCCAGAATGCTTTTCTTTGTCAGAACACTGGCTTGATTATAAGATCGGGTGCTTAACTTCTCTGAAACAGGCTCTTCTGCAGAAGGACAGATTGGCTATGATGATCTGATTTGATGAGGAGGAGAAGCACGGAGAAGGCGCCTGGCCTAGAAGGTGCTCAATACGTGGCATCAGTGATGGTCATCGTCTTCAGGTGCGACAGAGGTTGGGGTCAGCGATCTGGGGCTTTCTTTGTATCGTTTTATGAAGAAAGGTAAAAATACCACAGGCGAGAACAAGCAACAAAGGGCGGACGGGATTTTTCATCTGCAGCTTTCAACTGATACTTTTAAGTATTGAGCTATTCTTTTGTTAGGACAGAACACGTTATTCCATTAGAAGGGAACATTTTGGGGTGGTGGAAGTGTTCCACGTCCTGCGTGGGGTGACCGTTACACGCATGTCACATCAGCAGCCTGAGGAGGGAGGGGAGAAGGACTGGATACCTTCAGCCTCTTCATCGCACTCCAGGCACCAAGTGCAAGGGCAGGGAGTTTTCATTATTTAGGGAATGCAGCCCTGGTGTAGAAGACACCTCGTGGGGGTATCTCGAATCCCGCAGGTGCCTGAGCTGCGCTCCGCGCCCCAGCCGGGGGCCTTTTCTTATCCAACCGCGCCGCCCCGCGGAAAGTCTGGGTACTGCAGACGCCCTCATCGGCCCACCGACAGCTGGTTTTAAAGCGGCGGCTTAGGAAAATAAAGGGGTCAGTGTTTGGAGCCACGATGCCTTTGATGTGAGGCGGTTCCACCCAACAACCAACGAATCAAGCTGTAACTGCAGGCCCTACTCTTGTTGGGGGGAGGACCTTGAGGAATGTCACACCCTTGTCCCCTACCCGCTGCCCCACGCCTAGCCTCTCAGAAAGGCACCAGGCGTGAGTGGAGTGCGAGGCGTCCACGCCCTCGTGTCCTTTCCATTCCCGGACACCTCTGCACGCTAGCCGAGGCCTTAGCACGGAGTGAGGGTTGCCCGGGGTGCTCTACTGGGTGGGGGTGTTCTTGTCTCCCGGGCCCGGACCCCACGGTCCGGGTCGGCGCGGCGTCTCCCCCTGGCGACTGGACGGTGCCCGTGCACCGCTTCCAAGCGGCGAACGGCAGGAGCCAGGGGTCCGGAGGGACCCGGATCCAGGGCGGGCGGAAGGCGAGGGTCTCTCCTTCCCAGAACCCCCGCCCCGCAAACCTGCACCCAAACCGGGTCCCTCCTCCGCATCGCACCTGCGCTCCCCGGGCCGCCTCCCCACGCGGGCACCCACTCTCCAGGCCCTCGTAGCACCGCCCTCCCCGTGTCCACCCGCGGGGCCGACGCCGCCAGGGGCCCTGAGATTGCGGAGACCGTGCGCCCTGGCGCCTAGTGGGGTCTTCCCAGTGGCCAGAGCGCTCCTGGACCAGTCGGCTGTGGTCTGCGCCCAAACACGATGGAAACTGGGGCTGGGACGGGCGGTGGTACGCACGTGGAGAAGAGGCACGGCAGGAAAACCACAGCAGAAGATAGGTCCACTCGCACCTCCCACGCAGCCGCGCACCCGCCGCCGTCTGACTCGCGGCTCTCCCCAAGATTCCGAGTCGCCGCCGCCTCCTGGCACCACTCACCCGGCTCCGACCGTGGCCGCGAGTCCGCTGATGCGCAGTTGCCTCCCGGCGGCTCCCGAGCTCGGCCCAGACCCGCGCGCAGAGGCGCTCGGGAACGCGGGGCTCGGGCGCCTCCTGGCGGCGGCAGCAAGAGGCACACGCACTGTTCTCCCGCCCGAGGGGGCGCGTGGAGCGGACGCGGGATCCGCGCGCGGGCCTGGACTGCAGGCCCGCATTTCTTCGCTTGCTCGGATGGCGGCGCTGAGGCCTATTCGCCTCTTTATTAATAACGATGCCTCGGGAGGGAAAAAAGAGAACCTTTAAAAATCAGAGTGCGAGAGAGGAGTGTGTGTGTGTGTGTGTGTGTGTGTGTGTCTTGGGGCGTTGGTGAAAGCAATAAAACTCAGATCGCTTCCTTGGCGAGATAGCGGCGGCTATAATGCGCCGGGGGGATCAGGGGTTTATTTGCAGATCCTGGATAAAAGATGATATATCGACACGGTTTAGAGTGTCACTGCGTCTGGCCTCTCAGGAAGCCACAAGTACATATTTCCTGAAATACCGCCCAGCACAGTATCTAATCCTCCCGCCACTTAACACTGGGAGTGGAACGTCAGCACCGCAGAAGCGCGCTCCCGGCTTCCTGGTTCTGGGTGGGGAGAGCCCAACTGGGAAGGATCTGGTGCGCCTAGACGCCCCCTCCCCTGGCCTTTGTCTTCAGTCCAAGTAATCACTTAGCGATGGGCCTTAATAAATACGTCTGAGAACTGTCCTTATGCTCGGTAAATATTGGATTAGCTTTTCAATGACCAGGCTCTTGAAAAGGCTCGAGAAATCCACACCAGGTCTCAACTAAGCCCAACAGTCAATAGGTAAGGAAATAAGTTATTTCCCAATCTGAGGTGGGAACGTTGAGAAGGGGGGCTTCCACTCTTACCAAATTATCTGATTCTACTAAATATGACCCTTGTACTAAATAGGAAAGGGGGCACATCCAAGTTTCCCATTAGTCGGAATTTCCACCAGCTCAGTTCTGCTCATTAAGGGCTGAGTGACTTTGTGGGGAACATATCTGGGTTCCATTTTTTATTTCCACAGAGCTCAGCATCAACTATTTTTGTTTAGTACATATGGTTTATTTGGGGACTGCTTATGGGAGTTTTGACCTGGCAATGGCAGGGGAGAAGGCATGACCCAGATTATTTCCGACTGCCTCGTGCCAATTTGAACCGCTTAGAGGAGGCAAAAAATGGGCAAATTCCTTGGAAGCCCTGCTGTGTCTCCCTGGTACTGAATTTTGTAAGCACACGATACAGGAGACATTGAAAATTAAAGAGGAAGTATCTCCCTCCTCCAACATGGGGAGAGACGCTGTTGGAAGAAGTTTCTGAAGTGGTTTCCCATCGCACCAAGAGGCCAGTGGGATGGACCCCCGCACGTAATTCAAATGAACCCGCGCGTCTTTAGCTCTTTGGGGTTGGTAACGAAGTGGCCCCGGCCGGGCGCAAGTCGCCTTGGAACAGGCTGCAGCCCAAGTACAGTTGGGCCCGGGACTGAGCGGCGCCCTTGGCCTCTCAGAACCTTTCTCGCGGTGAGTGGAAGCGCAGCTCGGCGCGCGGGCCCTTCGGGGCCGGTGGGTTGCGAAATCAGGGGGGTGGATTTTCATCTACCCAGGAGCCTCTAAGCCCCTAGGGGACCGAGCATCACCCAGGCCCTGGGTACCCTGAGTTGCCTCCCGAGCCCCAGGACGGCCCGATGGTGCAGAGCTCCCAGGCAGAAGTTAGTTTCCTGATACACACACAGGAGTGAGCAAAGTGGGCACAAGTGAGCCCAAACCCTGAAGGCGCAGGTTCGCGGACTCCCGTCCCAGCGTTAGAGTCAAGGAGAGAGAAGAAGAAAGGAAGGAGAGAAGTGAGGAAGAGAGAGAGAGAGAGATTATGAGAGTAAGAGATTATGAAAGTAGAGAAAGAGATTATGAGAGAGAGATTATGAGAGGAGAGAAAAAGAGAGATTTTGAGAGAGAGAATAAGAGAGATCCAGCTTTCAGTGTCACGGGGCCTAGGCGGGGCAAGCGCCCTCCGAAGCCATCAAAGACAGGGGTGGCTTTTTCTCCCCTCCTCCAACCTCCTCCCCAATAGATATAGCACGAATTTTTAATGCGTCTTCCTTTCACAGACAACAATACAGGGTTTGAAAGCCGGACACAATTTAGGTTTTGTGCGGGTCCCTCCTCGCGCTCCCTCGGCCCAGCTGGCCATATGGAATCCAGCATGGAGCCCGCGGATGACAAAGGGACCCAGTGACAGGCCCAACAAAACCCCAAGGAGACTTCTGCCTGACTCCGGGATTCACTGCCCGCGATAAGCGCGCTGAATGGTGCGGGGTGGGGCGGGGGGTGGGGGGCGGGCCCCTTCTCCTTCTTCCCCTCTCTCTGTCCCCTCGATCCTTTCTCTGTCTCTTTTTAATATGCACGCCTCTAACATCTCCGGCTCCCAGCTTTCCCATTGTGCGGTTTTGTACCGCCCGCTGTAGATTGGGCGAAGATAGACTGCTGAAGCGGACCCCGCGCCGGGTGCGCTCCCAGGGCGCTGGGGTTAGGGCCACACAGGGCTCCGCAGGCGCTTTTATTGACTCCGTGGGGACCCGAGGACAGAGAGAGGCGGGCGCCGGGCCCACCTCCCGGGCTCCCGGCCGGCCGCAGAAGCGCACACCCAGATTGCAGGCCCGTGGTCCTGGCCACCGCTCCAAATGTGTCCTCAATGAGCAAGCGGTGGAAGCCTGCCAGGGTGAGGACCTTCCACGCTTCCCCCTTCCTCTCTGGAAACCTGGGGGTCTCTTGTGATCATTCTCACCCTGGAAGCCCTGGGGCCTGGAAGAGTCAAAATTTCTTCAGGCCTTCTGACAACTCCGCTCCAAGAGACTTGAAACCCCCACCTTTCCTCCCAGAGGATTTTGGGATTAGGGGAAGTTGCAGGTGGATGTTGAGTGGTTAGTACCAGTGCATGTTGGGCATTCAATTATTGCACAAAAAACTATTTGGGAGAAATTCATTGGCCTTTCAAAACCGCAAGACATAAGCCCCCAAACATTGCCAAGGTAGTGTGGAGAACAAAGGGAGACCTTTTAGCATTTAGAAAAACTGCCCTTTCCCCAAGGATGAGCCTGGAGATGGGAAAGGACCTTTACTGGGGTATTAGAAAGACTCCCGAGCACTCAATTATCCAGGGGCGGTGTGGAACGCGGGAATAAAGTGTCATCGCGTCCCTGGGCTTCTGCGCTGAGTGCTATCGACGCGCAGATTTGGTCGCACGGATAATCATGTTTGCTTTAGATATTGAATTAAACCTGATCATCAACTAGAGGGAGCGAGAAAGTCAGCTGGGACCTCTCCCTTTGCCCGGCCTCCTCATTTTCACACCACTCCCAGCCTTGATGGTGCAGCTTCGGAGAGAACAGAGATACAATTTCCAAATGCGCCGACTTTCAGTCCCCCGGAGTCTCACAGCACCCGCTGGGCTCTGAGCTATAGAGCCCCAAGTATTTTTAGAAACCTGCGAGGTAGAGGAGAACGGCTCATCCTCCAGTTTGCCAGGCTTCCTAAGACGCTCCCCCGCGTGGCCAAGTGTGCGCGAGCATCCGCCAAGGAGATCTGCCCCCAGCGACAAGGGTGGGATGGAATCAGTTCCCCACCGGAAAGATGGATGCGCCCTTCCCGGGCGAGCCCGGGGCTGTGTGCCCGCTTCCCGTCCGGGGCGCTCACCGCACCCCCAAACCTCTACTTCCTAGCAATCCACCCAGTCCCACGCCCAGGACTGACCTGCGGGGACCGCACACCGCCGAACGCTGGAGGGAAGGAGGCCCGGGATCCAGTCCCCGGAGAGAGGCCAGGAAGCCCGGAAAGGATGGGAGCGGAAGGGAAGGGGGAGGCACGGTTTTCTGGGATTGCCAAAGACTCTCGCTCCCTGGCTTCCTGGGGCCAAAGAGCCTAGAGAGGGCTGCAGGATCCCCTCCCTACCCCGAGCCCAGGACCCCGAGTACTTCCACCACACGCCCTAAGCCAAAGCCTAGCACGCCCTGACCGCTCCCACCCCCGGCCTTAGGGGTCTCCTAGGTCAGCACCAGCCCGCAGACTTTGAAAAGGGGTGGGGATTGGGGAGAAGGCAGCCAGTCTTAACCTCAGACCCCCACCCATCCACTTTCTTAGCGTGAGATAAGTCAAACGCAACAAAGTGAAAGTCATCCAGTGTAGTGGCTTCAACAGCTTCTCAGGCTGAAGAAGCCACTCGTAGATTTGGGCCAGCGAGGGGGATTTGCTCTCCTCGCCTTTGCGGCTCCCGAAGTCACTTTTCCTCCCGCAGCCGGACGCTGCCGCCCGGGGTTCAGACAGCGCGCGAGACCAGGGGAGAGGCCGGGGAGAGGGTGGGCGACCCTGGGCTTCGGGCCGACCGCTCGTAGGCCGGAAGCCGAGCGTTCCCGTCCCCGCCTCAACCCTAGGCGCGGGGTGCAGCCTGTGGTCGGAGGGGTCTGCACCGGGAGCCCCGCCCGCCCCAGGGCCCCCGTGCCTTGGCCTCCCCGCCCGAGGGGAACCGCCCGTGGGAGCCCCGCGGGCGGCCAGGCCTGGTTCCCAGCCCCAGGCCTCCGGCCCGGAGCAGGGCTACAAAGTCAGACAAATGGGAGGGCAGGGCTTGTTTCCTTTTTTCTTTTTTTCTTTTTTAAACACAGGATTTTTATTAAAATTCTTATTTAAAAAATCGAAAGCTTTCTGCGCCCGGCGCTCTTGGGGAACCGCGCCGAATAGCTGAGCTCCAAGTTCAGGGCTCAAGGTCCGGAGGACAGGGCAGGGGGCTCCCTGCCTACAGGGTTTTCTTTTCCATATTTGAGAAATGTTTGCACAATAAAATAAAAAGAGAAAGGAAGAAAGCAGGGGAAAACGCAAACGTAACCAAACCCAAACAAACCACAAAGAAAGGAGTTGGACCCAGAAGGGAAACAGGCCCATCCTGAAGGTCATTTTGGCAACAATCACCACCGATATTTACAACGAAAAGCGAAATCTGCCACCAGTTGTCAGAACGTTTACATGGCCATAAATATTTAGCATTTTCTTATTTTTTTAAAAAAGGAAGAAATTCTCTATATTTTTAAAGTGTTCTCCACTTGCTTTAGAAGACGGCTGACAATGTCGCTACTCACACAAACATATTTTACAAAATTCACGAAAGCAGGGGTGGGGAGTCGGTCTTTTTCTCTTTTTCAAGTGACGACATTAACGCTGGGACGGTTTGGTCCCCCCGGGGAGAGGCAAAGAAGCGAAGCTGCGCAAACATTCTGTAAACACGGCGTAGAGTTCAGCCATCTCCAAAGGTTCAGAAGGAGAGGCATGGGCAGAACTGGGTGGATGGAATCTGCCACTCCAAGGAGACGCAGGCAACCTCCCGATGCCTCCCTAATGGAGCCGAGAGTCAACTCCACTCCATAATAATAATTATAATAATAGTAATAACCACCATAAGGACCGAGGCCTCCTCGCCGCCACCGCCGCCGGGGTGGGGCCTGGGCCTGGGGCCGCGAGTCTCGTTGGGGCGGCGCTCACCAAGTCCACTGCTGGGCCTGGACCAGGGGGTGTGCTGTCGGGTACTGGGGGGTGCTGGCCGAGCTGTACTGGGCGTTGTACTGCATGTGCTGCAGCGACTGCGCGCTGTAGGCCGAAAAGGGAATGCCCGCCTGGAAGGTGGCGGCTGCCAGGTCCTGGGCTTTGAGCGCGTGGCACGGTTTGCCGTCCCTGACCAAGACGGGCACAGCCACCCGGCGCGGCGAGGGCAGGGGCGTCACCTCCATACCTTTCTCGGCCCGGGCGCGCTTCATCTTGTAGCGGTGGTTCTGGAACCAGATCTTGACCTGCGTGGGAGTGAGGCGAATGAGGCTGGCCAGGTGCTCACGCTCGGGCGCCGACAGGTACCGCTGCTGCCGAAAGCGCCGCTCCAGCTCGTAGGTCTGCGCCTTGGAGAAAAGCACCCGCCGCTTCCGCTTCTTGCCAGCGTCCCCCCCGCCGCCCGGGGTCTCCTTGTCATTGTCCGGTGACTCGTCGGCCGAGGGCTCCGGGGACTTGGAGCTTGAGTCCTGAGGGGGCGCGCCTGCCGCCAGACCGTGCACTGGGGGGAGGGGGAGAGAGAAGCGCGTCAGGCGTCTGGAGGCCGCGCGCAGCCTGCACCGGACTCGGAGACCCCTGGATCCTCCGTGCGACCCTGGAACTCCGCGCCTGGCAGCCCAGCCCCGCTGCCTTTGCCGTGACCCCTGCCTTGCTCTACGCCTCACGAGGACGTCGGGGCCTCCCAGGGTAAAAAGGGAAATCCGCAGGAGTGGGGCCTAGGGTGTCGCGTTTCAAGGGGCTCACATAGCTTGGGTGAGAATTTTGGGGGGAGTGGCGCACTGAAGATCATCGCGGGTTAAGGGCTCCGGCCCCCTTAAGCGGTTTCCTCTCTGGAGAGACGTGGGCAGATTTTTAAAAGAAAAACCCCACAATCCCAGCATTGATCGCCTTGGTCATTTAAGGCAGGTTTTTGGGGGCTTTCGTTTCTGCTTTCGGGCCTTCTAGACACCCCCTGCACGGCACAAAGCGTCCTCTATGATCGCGCAGGGGGCAGGGTAAGCTATTTATACCCGGGC